CAGCGGCCTTTACTCACGGCGGCACAATATGCACGTCCGGTTTTTGTTTATCGTTGTTTTCTGAAATTCGTTGTTATTAACGACGACGATGATTGCGATGATTTATAAATAATAATAATAATAATCGCATCGCGCGGGTTTACAATATACAAGTCGGCGCGTCGGGGTTTTAAAACGATACACCTATACCCGACGATTTATATCGTCGAGCGCCCGGGGAGAGTGGCCCGAGCGTAATAATAATAGTTTTAATGCTCGTCTAACAACAACAACAACAACAACAACAACAACAGCAATAATAATAATAATAATAATGTTGTTATTATTATTATTATCACGATGGGATATAATAAAAACTGAAGGCCGCGCGATCAAATTGCGGCGGAAGCGAGGCGCGCGGAGCAAACGCGCTCGTTCTTTATTAATCAAAGTAAAACGAACGGGGACGCGAATATAATAATATCAGGAACGTTCAAAGTTTTACGCGATATATTGCGGCGCGCGTGTGCCGTGAGGTTGGTACCTCTGCGGCTCTACATTATACGCGATGTATCGTCGAAATAATTAATTGAACGAAACTGCAGTGCAGGCACATATATAATACGTGTACGGACGGAAATGTGTTTTATGCGCGTCTTTGATGCGGCTACACACAGCACCTACACACGCGTCTAACCGAAATTAAGTCCCGGTATATGTGTATGTATTTATGCATGCATAATATACCTATCGTGTGGTATATTAATCCGAAAATAATTTCACGGTTCAAATTTATTTCATTTTAACAAGTAGTACGAATTATACAGTCATTCATTTCTGTACGCTCGACGGCGATATTATTTATTTATTTTTGTGCAAATTACAGGCCGGTAGACAATTATAGTAAGTATGTACGTATACAGTAAAACGCGAAATACCGATGATCGTAAACATTGTAAAGATATAAAAGGGACGGCGGGTAACTGAACGAGAGTGGCGGCGGACCGCAGGGGCGTTTAGGGGGAAGTTTGAATGAGAATGAGGGACGTGGAAGGGAACGAGTATGGCGTGACGGGACACTTAAATTAATTTCCGCGAGTGAGGAAAGTGAATAAATTCGATTGGATATAAGTTTGGCCACGAAGAAAAGATTAGCCAGATGCCTCGATTAATCGGGCTAAAAACTTGTGTTTCTTACAAATGGGACAGGGGAGTAGTCGTATGGAGGGCGGGGAATTTCGGACCTAAACGCGATCATCCCGGGAAACTTCTTTTGGATATGCTCTATCAAATCGCCGGCGACAGATGTTTTTGGATCCCAGAGGACTGAACCGTATTCCAGGATGGGGTGTAGTAATAATATATTACTATACATACAGGGCGATTCTTCTATAAAGAATCACAATGAAGTTAGAATGGTAATTTAAAGTAACCGTGATAAAATGAATACCCTGCATTGCATAGTATAGTATCAGACTGTCATTTCTGCTCGGCGAAATAATAATATTATTTATTGTATGAGTGTGGGTGCTAACAGAAATCGACGGAAAGGCGTGATTAAATATTGACCTACTCCAATTACTAAATTTGATGATTTTTAATAAATGTTTACAATTATTTGTCCTTCGATAACACAAATAATAAATAATACATTTAACAGTAATCGCGGTTTGTTCATGGACTTATTAATATTAGTTTGGATGTATTCTTAGATAGTCTAGTACCAACATTGTTATTTACGAAAAAGAAATATAGCTAGACTTGTATATACGATTGATATAGAACCTAAACTGTGTAAGCTATTTTTTTTTTTTTTTTAACAACAACGGTCGCTGGATCTATCTGTGTCTACTATCGTTAATTTGAAGTTCAATGTTTTGTTTTGTTTGTAATCGTTATATCCTATTGTAGGGGGTCTGAGTATAAGTACCTGTGGGAATTTCTTTTAGAAATCCTCGAATACTTCCCATCAAATTTTTATTTTCAAGAGGCCGATAAAAATACTTACCGCGACGGCGGGATTCGAAAAAGGAAAACATGAGGAATTTGACATTCTAATCATATATATAATTATACATCATTGCAGTGTACCACTACGCAGGAAGATCCATACGGTTCTTTTTTGGGTCCATTCGTGTATACGGAAATTAACTCAAAATCTGCAAATTTACTCATAAACCTTTGTAAATAATTCTTGGTTCGTTATAAAAAAATCACCATCTATAGGTGGTAGTACAATAGTCTGTAATTTCGACTCGACGAATATTATTAAAATATTGGTGCATTACATTTGTATTATATATGCGTATTGCTTATTATTATTAATTTTGTTATATTAATTTTTCATACTTTTTTTTTTTTTTACTGAAATCATAATGACGAATTAATATTTAATATTGTTTTTTCTTTTTGTGACCGTGTTTTGAATAAACAAAAATTGACAATATTATGTCTACCTACCGTTTTTTCTTTTTTTTTTCGCTCCACTTAAGATTAATAATATTTGTTAATTAAGGAAGTTTTCTTTATGTTTGTTCGGTTAACTTTTCAAACTAAGTCTGTACGTAACAGGAATAGGGTCGGTTTTTTTTTTTTTTTTTGTAAATTGTTATTTTTTCCTCGGCCGAGAATTATTGAAATCAAATTCGATTTATATATTCTTATAGGAATAATATTATATTAGATATTCAGGAAATACTTTTATTCGTGATGATGATGATGATGATAATAATGATAATTTATTGCGGAAAATTGCTCGCCCAATTTTTATTACATTTCACGGCTGTATTGAAACGTTATTAGTAAACCTTTGTTACCCCGATTTCAATATATCATTTTTAATATTCGTTTTATTTTTTTTAAACCGGATTTTCTGTCAGGAAGGCATATATTTAGAAAATAATTAAATTTATATTTTCGCCCCCTCAATCGCTGGGGAAAATTAACTTTATCGATCGTTCACTTTTTGGAAACTATCTAAATAGCCGATTCGTGAACTAAAATCGTTTAATATAACATACAGATTCATATCCGATGTACAGGTTCTTTGCAGTAGACGTTTTAAATTTCCAGAGGAGCTAAAGTATGAAGAAAACCTTTTCGGTTAACATGGCGCAATTAACCATTTGTAATTGATACCTAGTACCTACTACGTAGTTACGCGATAGTAGAATTATAATAATCGCAGTAAATAAGGTAATAATAAAACCGATCAAATTTTTCCCCTTAATTGTTGGTACGTACGCGTGCTTGTGTGTGTCGTCGGGAACATTGCCAGAGTACGTCACGGTCCAAACGATAATATAAGGTTACGGTAGAAACGATAACACGGCTTAATAACTCTAACCGTGTTTTTGGTGTACGCACCGTTGGTGATAAAAAAAAAAAAAAAATAATAACAATAATAATTTCACAATAACGCGCGTTTAAAGTTTAATTATATTTCTACAATACGTGTGTACGTATACCTAATTGAATAGTCGAGCTTTATAGTAAAAATCGCCAGAATGTGTTGACAATTTTTGAGCTCTTTTCGATTATTTTTAATCAAATTGTAATAAAAAAAAAAAAATAATAATAATAATAATATCGAACATAATGAAACCGTAAACTCTCCGGATTTCCTTAGTTTTTTCCCGGTTTTCGATAACTGTTAAGAAAAATATGCGGAAAATAAAAAATAACTGCCCGAACGTGCAAACTAAATTACACACAGGTTTCTTTCTTCTCGTTTTTTAATTGGAGTGAGATTTTCGCGGGTATAATAGTGTTGTTAACAGACGGGGAAAAAAATTGTTTAAAAAGAAGCACACATCATCATATATCAAAACCAATACATTCGTTGCACCGAATATGTAGTAGTAATAATAATAATAATAATAAAATTCCAATTACTTACCGTACCTATACTTTACTTAGGTATACACCGAGAAAAAGTCGAAAATATAAAATTTCGACAAAGAACGAGAGGAAAAAAAAAAAGAAAATGTTCAACAAGATACAGTCACCGTCATAATATTATAATAATATGATATATTTTATATTCCGCGCACACGCATTATTTATTCAGTTTGTATTACAAGTCCGGAAATTGAAGAATATTAACATATACAAGGGACTACGCGAATATAATATTATATATTATAATACATCTCGACAACTTTTGTTGTCTCCGCTGTCATTTCCGCACCTATATACTCGTACGACAGTTTCTAAAACACACATGCGTATCGCCGCGAACACTATATGAAAGTAATCAATCGTTGTTTTTGAAACATTTCGTTTTTAGAATATTACTACCTACGCCGCCTACACGGTTAATCGTCACGCGATATTTTCGTAACAATTTCCGTACGCATATGGTGTTTTTTTTATTTTTTTTAGATTCGGCGGGTGTTACGTTTTTATTTTTGTTTCGGGAGCATAAACAATATTTAGTACAATAATTGATTCATTGACTCGTTGCCTGTAATAAAAAGCGATTTTATTGTATAAAACCGTTAAATACACCTGTACCAACTCTGCAAACTGTTATCAAACCGCACTTGGGTAAAATAATTTTTAAAAGTCTTCAGAATTTCAGAATAAATGTTCAAATACGTAAACACAACAGTATTAGGAATATGTGTTATATAAAGTATTCGAATCAATATGTTTAATGATACATGTAAACGGTACAGGTATTCTTTTTTTATAAACAGCCAAAAAGTTCATGTTCGAGTGACTTATGGGAACTATCGAAATTATGTGATGATAGGCAACATGGTGATTTTTTGACCGTTTAGAATTTCGAAAAATTTTATTAACTACTGATAAGGAATTACGCTGATGCGTTAAAAAATCAAAGTATTTTTATTAATCAAAAAAGTGATTTTCGAGAAAAAAATGCCTTATAGTGAAGCATTTAACGTTCTAGACTGATAAAAGTATATACATACATATTTATTTTTTTAAGGAACAGAATACTCTTTTGAATTTTTCGGAATATACTATTGAATACTTTAGAAGAAAATTATTTTTAAAATATTCGGAACACATGTACTGTTTGGCGGTCCATAGAGACACGAATGGGAATTAATTAATGTTCGCGCATGCCCAGTGATGGTTGTACATGTGCAGTGATAGTGCGTGTAATCCCCTTAACCCGGCTTATAGTGATACGATTTCATAACACGGCAGAGATGGAGTATGGCTCCGTCCATAGTGTATTATAATCTAAGTAAATAACAAGATTATGGTAATATTCGTGATGAACCAATATATGCTTTCCGTGGAAATACTGAGAGATATCTGAGACGATGTCTAATTTTCGGTCAAAGCTCAGTTTACTATCAATAAGGCCACGCTGTGAACGAATAACTCCTTCTCATGGAATTATTTTTACCGTTGGTTTTACTATGATCGGCGTTTTGTTCTTGTTCTTTTGTCGAATTATCTATCGTTATTTGAAATTGTCGATGTTTAACGATATTTTTGTTCTCAATTTTTACAGATGGAATTTGGTGTGGTCGATATAAAAACTCGAAAATCGAATGCAATATTTCCCTTGATGTGTAATATTTTACCTTTCAAAAGTTTCTGTTTTTAACAACGACCTACGCCTACCCGTCAGCAGTATTGAATAACTAATTTGTATACTTTATGACGTATGATCGTATCGCGTTCGCGTATTAATATGATAATAAAACACCCACGTTCACTCGTGGCCCATTAAAAACTGTGATCCATCTGAGGCGTTAAGCTATTTTTTATTTATCCATTTATTTTCTATTGAGAGGTTTATTTTTTAAAATTACTTCGAAAGTTAATCGTTTGTCATTAATTTAAACTACGGTTAATGCTACTTGATATAACTTCTGTTAGTGCTCCGAGACAGTAAACAACTTATTTTTAACGCTAATTCTATATTTATTCGCAATATTATCATTTTAATAATCGGCACATGGCGTAAATAACATCTGCTATATTATTAAAATTCGAAATTCCGGCGAGTAGGAAGCTACGCTCATCTCAAATACCTACAAATTAAAACCGTTGACGAAAATCGTGATTAATGACTATCGAAAGGGAAAAAAATTCAACACTGTACAATTCGATGGTACTGGAATAGAACCCCATAGGGAAAATACATTTGGAAAACCCGAAACGAGGAGGCAGAACTCTTATTTAACAGTTTTATCTCTAAAATGTAGTATTAAAAAAGGCATAATATGTATGCTCTTTCTCTCTCTCTCTCTATATATATATATATATATAAATATATAAAAGATGAGTGAAAGATTTGTTCAATGGATAGCTTCGAAAGATAAGTAATCGTTTACATTTTTTTTGATAGATTCAAAACGTGTTCCTCGAAATTACAATGATAAATCTATACAACTCTAATATTATATTTAAAATTCATATTAATTTGAATTTGTAGTTACCTACATTAAATTGTGTAACATTAATTTAGTTAAAATAAAAAACATTCATTATTTTTACATCGGAGATTATTATCGGTTTACAAAATATTTTTTATCGTTTGGATTAACGAAAACTTTCGAATTTTTCACCGACTACACGAACAAAAAAAAAAAAAAAGTTGTTATTGAACGCTTAAAAATAATGCGACTTGTTATTATGTCGGGAATCTGACTAAGTAGTATATCGGTTAGGTTTTTATAAATACCGAATAACAAAAAGTAATTAATACAATTTTTTATTTTTTTAAATACTAAAAATACGAGTATAAACGATTATTGTTTTGGAATAATTGCGACCGACCGATTATAAAAAAAAAATAAAAATATATATACATTTCCATGAATTCGATTTCGTGATATTTGTTTTTTCTTTTTTTTTGTCTATCCCAAAAAGTCCCGTTGAGACAACAATAATCATTATTCCGTCATCACACAGACATTATCTTTAATTCGTAGTATTTTTTTTTTCCAAAATTAAATTTGTGCACTTAAACAAATAGCCAAATGCACTGACACAGTATTACGGGAAGATTTAAGTAAAATATTGAACTATTCGTTTTAAAGTGTTTCTTTTCATTTATTTGTGATTGTGTTTTGTTTTTTTTTTTTTTTAACGCTAAAACCCATTCGAATTCATGGTGCATTTGACGCCTTTCGCGCGCGTAATCGAATGAATAAAACGATACTAAAACAAAATAAGAATATAAGACGGGGAAAAAAGAAAGATTCAGTGGATAGCTACTTACTTAACTCCATTTATACTCTTCGCGTTTCACTGATGTATTTCTAATAATTCGATTGAAACGCACTTTCAAGTCGATTGTTCTCGAAACGCATCAATTGTTCGTCATTTTTACGGTACCGACCAGAACGGGAAAGTGCCCGTTCTATTGATACTTACGTCAAAAAAATAAATACATAAATAAAAAGTAGAAGATAATTCAAAGCTACACGTCCGAAGTGTATCAGATTTCTGTTTTCTTAGATTTATGTGTGTTTTTGTGATTTCGTTCGCATTAACGTTTAATAACTGCAGTATTTAACATAATAATATTTTCTGACGTTACATAGAAAATCGAACGTTTATAAATAATTTTGAACTAACCATTCGATTCGCCACGTTTAATTTTGTAATGTTAAAAATTCATGATACTGTAGTAGTATCTAGATATCTATTTTTTTACATACATTTTATCGAAAAATCCATAACACGTTTGTAAATAATTATTTCTATGATAAAATCATCGTGTCGTTGTGAGTTCTATCATCACTTTAATCGGTCGAAAATGAACGTGGGAGATGTGTACAGCGATGAGATTCAGTGTTGTATAGAAACAAATATCAAAACGTCCGGTCGGTCGATTTGATAGAATAATTTTATTAACTATATAAAAAAAAAAAGAGGGATAACTTTTTTCATGACCTAACACAGACTTAGTATTGAGAGTAATAGTGAAAATGTACCGGAATTCACGTGCGTCTAAATTTCAGTATGACCGTGAGCACGGTGCTGGGTTTTACGAGGCCTAGGCAAAATATTCAGAGAGCTCTGGAAACAAATGTTATAAATCAATAGTGAAAACCTATACATTTTACTCACCTCTATAATCGCGCATCGGTGGCTTAAGGGGCTTAAACCTATAGACATTTTAAAAGCTCCCATAATTTTAACAAAAGACTCCGAAATTAAAATGATATTTATTGTTGATGTTGACCTTTTGTTTAGTTTTTTCATCACTTTAATATTACTCTGTCTCCTGTACACCAATAAAATGTCCACCTATGTTCACTCCCTTCTCTTAGTTTTGAATTTTGTTTTTTAATATATTTTTTTGAGAATAAAAACTTAAAATAACACCAATTTTCTACTCGCTACTTTTTACATTAGTTTAGTAAAAAATACTTTGGTAGGTACCAAAAAAAAAAAAACGTTGAAAAAAAATGATATAGATGTAAAAAAATATTAAATATAAATTTTATATCTATTATTATCAGCGCTCGATTTAGGAAAATTAAAGTGGGAGTGCTCTGCTAAATAGAAGAGCTCATTCCCCTGCGCACCTCTTTCCCCCTAATTGAAGCAATGATTATAATATAATAAATAATAATTTATTATGGTATTTACGTAATTTTAGCGGTTCAAAATAAAATGAAATCGTATAGTTGTGATTCAGTTTCATTTATGCGTTTATCAATTAAGGCAAACATTGGGCAAACCTACGGTTAACAAACGATTCGAGATTTTTCCTTATCAATACAATGTTATTTTAGAAATTCATGAAATGTGTTTCCGACGGTACATAAATAGAATTATTCTTGCGAGATAAGTAGTTCAGATAGGTACAATAAAAAATGATCGCACACACCGCAGTAAAACTAACATGAATGTATTGAAAACCATGCGAGGCCCCGTAAAGCGCGAAGCCTTAGGCAGCTAGGCAGGTGCCCAGTTTACTCACCCCTTCCGTCCGCCCTGGTCGTGAGGTATAATAATGTTGTAACTTTATAATTTATAAATCAAGTACCGTTTAAAAAAATGTATCTAGACGGGATAAAATACCGCAAACATGTATACGGACAGAACACAACGCTGACGGTATTCAATCGCCGGTTCGGGTCCGGGCGTCCGGAAATTCGCGTTGAAATCTCATATCGTTTTGTTGTCACGCGCGTAGTTCGGCGGGGCGTGCGCGTCCGGTAGCCGTGTGACGACGACCTCAGAGCCTTCAAACTCGCACGGACGTTGCGTCGACGTATTAATTAAACGATTTAAATACGCCAAAGCGAACGTCTTAACCGGTCGGCGTGACGACATCAAGCGGATAAACGGGGCGGCGAGAGAGACCGAGCGATCCGAGTCAATTGGCAGCCCGCAAATTAAATCGCGTCCGGCCAGTACAATAGCTCGACGACGTGCTGCGGGTTTGTTTTTTTTTTCCCCTCCCGTGTCGTCGTCCCGGGCTATTTATTGAGTCACAAACGCCGTAGAAATTAATATTCTCCCCCCCCTTCCCGCCCACGTATACGCTTAGTTTTGCCGTTATTTAATACACAGCGTGATTGTCGAGCTTTCCGGCGGCAGCGACGAAAACGATTACAACGAAAACCGCGTTGACGAATTTAATAACTTTTCGCATTAATTTCCATTGTACATTCTATATTGTACGTCCTGTTCTGTCCGTCCGCCTCCCCGCCGTGTCACCTTAATAATTAAAATCGTTTTAGATTCGGAGCGTAGCGAGAAATGTATTGGTTTTATAATGGTGTTTATTGTTATTATTATTTTTTATCTGTGAACGACTTTTCTGCCGGAAATCTCGTTCCGATCTTCAGGTATAGCGCCATATCCGAGAAAATATTCTATCTGGGCGATACTTAAAGGAGGTCGTTTTTCGATTTTCAGCGCGGTTTTCATAATAATCGGGTAAAACGGGAAAATGTACGTACATGTATAAAATAATGGTTTTTCGTTAGCAACGCCTTGTCGCATGCAAACAGATATAAATTAAATTCCCCTCTATATCCTACATTCTGAGCTTTCACCCACGACAGTGGCCAAACCCGTCGTACGAAGTATGCCAGTCTTTTTTTTTTTTTTATATTCGTAGCGTAGGTTTTTTTTTTTTTTAAATTTCATCCGTGTCGCCGAAGTTACCCAGAAATCGATATCGACATAATTTTCCTCCGAATATTTTTCTCAATACCGCGATGATCGTAACTAGGTATCAAGCGACGAGTGGATTTTCAATTTTCATTTACTATAGGACTCGATTTTTCGTAGACTCGTCAAATAATTGTAAATCAAACCTATTTGTCGAGAACATGTTTTATTTAAATTTCAAACAATCGAATACGCGGTGTAAGAAGACAAAACGTTTTTTTTTTTTTTTCATCTCCCACGTAGATAATATGTAGCGATTCATTCACGGGCACAACTAGAGGGGGGTTAGGGAGTCTAGTTTAAGATAAGCGCCGCCCTCAAATAAGTTTTTCATATTAACGACTAAATATTTTATTCGCGTATTTCATAACAAATGAGCCGATCAAAACTGCAGATGTCCTGCGGACAATGATGCGCGTATGATAGATAATGTCGAAACTGTTACGATAAACGGGTACGCACGCACGACATTCCAAATGTAATGCGTGGATGCTTATTTCGAGAGTCGTGCGAAGGGAATTGCGGGGGCGTAGCGCAAATCAATTGAATAGCCGCCGCGGGTGCCATTGACGCGTCCATCATTTTAGGATTCCCCAAAGTTGACGGTCCAGTCGTGCCTATACGGGGGAATCATCGAATCGGAACGCGCGTTTTTGTTGTCGTCCGTTGTTGTTGTAAATCACGACGTCTAACGTTCGTTTTTCGGGGTCCGACAAAACCGCTGCCCCCGGCTAAAGGGGCTGTTGCAGTTTTTGCCCCCCCCCCGGGCACGGAGAGAGGAACCGCACGAGGGCCGCGTGACGTGACCGAAAAACGACGTTTTCCCCGCGGATTATGCACGACCCGCCGGCCGCGTTTAATATTCATGGCCGGAAGCCGATTTACATTCGACCGCGTAAACGCGTGTCTTCCAATTAGACGGTCGCCGCCGTGTTATTATCGCCGCGTTATTATTATCGGCGTCCGCGTCGCGGTTGACCGCCGCCGCGACCGTAACGAGTGTGTTATTATTATTCGATCGCGCAAACAACGGGCACGTACCTGTCGCGCGCCGCGGTCTTTTCGGACGTTTTCGGGAATATTATCGCGAAACTACCGCGTCGTTGTCGGCTTTATGCGTCGCCGTTTCCGTTTGCCGCGCGCAAAAGGGCCACTGTTGCGGGCGACAAGTCGGGGAGCGGATAGGATACGGGGATAAATCCTACGCATATCCGTACGCGACGGTCAGCCGTCGCGAACGGAAAACGATTCCGCACGGAGTTCGGTTATTCGTGTTTCGAAAGGTTGCGATATTAACGATTTCCAAATAATATACATTTCGTATACGCTCTCCTAGTTTTTCCCGTTTTCTACGAAAACCCCCAGAGAGAATTAAAATATTGCCCAACGTACCACCGCAGTCAAATTTCCTTTCGGAATAAGTGCTACGCTCGGAAGTCTGAGCGAAATTTCCGGTAGAATAGTCGTCCACAGAAAAAAAAAAAATAAACACCAATACATCTCTTCATCCCTTCATCGGAAAAACGGGAACAATAATATTATTTTTTCAAAGCTCGGGGCGATGATTTGAGAAGTTTTTATTTCAACGGACATCAGTTACATTGTGTAATATTATAGATTTCAAAAACGAAAAACAAAATAGTTATATAATAAAATCATAGTTATAAAATTATTATTATTAAGATAAATATGTATTTATAGCCTATAACCGGCACAACAGTTGTTGTCTTTTTTTATACGACACGTTACACTACGGTGATTTTGGTAGTCTGGGATTTATTGATCAAGCCGTTGTTGGGGTAGAACATGTTCGAAAGCGGTCCGTTGACCACGTTCTCAAATTCAACGCTGTCGTCGAGGTATTTCAACGCTTTCTGGTACCATTGTTTTCTGGTATTGTTCACTTCTCTCTGGGCCCGTACGACGGACGAATAGTCGACGTTTCCATCCAGATACTCCTTTTGCATGTCCGCTAATTTCTGCGAGTCGTTCATTAAGTTCAGTTCAGTCTCTTGGAGGTCGTACAAATCGGCTTTCACTTTGCTGTAGAGCGGGTCAACGACACACGGAGGGACCACCACGTACCCGTGGGTTTCGGTTACGCTCACGATGGCGATGACCTGGAAATATTACATTAAGCGCGAAATTATACAAGTTGTATTTACGAAAACCTGAAAATATTACACTCGACGCGCCGTCGGTAGGCCGCCCATGGTTTTAGACGAGACGTTTAGAAGGTAAAGGATACGGAGTGATTTAGTTTATTTACCTACTGAAAGCGGCGATTAATAATCGCTATGACAAAAAAAAAAAAAGAAAAACTATTCTGAGCAGTGCTCGGCAATCCGGTAAGGTTATTAGTCGTAAAAGTGTAATAATAATTACGTTAAAAATGTATTGTTTTAATGCGTAAAAATGTATTTGTTTTAAATATGTAGTTTTTACACGAAAATTGTTCTTTCTCTCGTTGTCGCGGGTATATCGTGGCGGTTCCGGGCGGTAATGGTGTTTATCTTAGGTACTCTAACCACTTACTTCTAAAAAGAAAAAAATAAGAGGGAGAAAGAGTGTGTGAGAGTACATTTTCGCGAGACACCCGTAGAGTGTATTATAAAATAATAATGCGGTTTCATCGAGAGATATTTTGGAATATTCTGTTTTTGTGTGTATACAATTTATCTGTAGAAGAGTAGTTAGTGTTCGTTAAGTATAATAATTATTAAAATAATATTTTAAAAAACGTCGCCTTTGTGTGTATTGTCTGCTCGTCAATGACTTTTTAACTTTGCAAACATTATTACTGTATAGAGTGGTATTTTTGCGTTTCGACTAAAATATTTTCATAATTCTCATTTTTTTTTTCGGTCTGGACCAACATCGATTGTAAAAAATAAAAATAATAATAAAAAAAAAAAGAACCGAACAAAGAACAATGAATAATAACAATAAAATAGTTTTCAATTTTTGAATCTGTATACTTTTTTACGCGCGTTCATAAATTACATAATATTATTATAATAATGCCTGGACTTGAACTGGTCATAATGTACGATTTACAACAGTTAATCCGATAATAAACAAGACAAAATGTTGTATAAAATATTTATTTTTTTTAATCCGTCGGTCGGCCAATAATTTTCGTTACAAATTTGTCAAACCGTACAGTGTGTATAGTAATGATGGCTAGCGTATCAACAGAATTACAATATAATAACATGCGTTCGATTTGTATACGAGCTGAATATTGATTAAATAATAATAATGAACAGTAATAAAAATAAATTAAAAAAGAACCGATGCTGCTGACGGGTGTGCTATTGTATTAGACGGGGATCGTAGTCGGATATTTAGGGTGATTTTATTGTTAGCGACGATAAATCATTGCTAACCAAAAACGATTCTGAACCAAGTTTGTTTAAATACATATTAAAATGCCGCGATTTTCGTCAAAACTTGAACTCAAAGGCTTAGAAAACAATAACGCTCAACAAGCACAGCTTGAAATTTGTGTATAAAAGCTCATATCGAGAATTCAGGAAAAAATTTCAATCGCATAAAATCAAATGAAAACTAAAAAAAAAAAAAAAAAAAAAAAAAAAAAAACAAATGCCTATTGAATGCTCAGTTATTGCGAGATTGTGTTTAAAATTGAAGTACGTCTAGAAAGAAGCTAATAAAAGTATTCGATGACAATTTCTCCTCCGGTCTCCACGAACGGTTTTCATCGAATTGCGGACGGCAATAAATCGTGAATAACAGAAACCGTTAGTGCGTCATTTTCAACGTTTGTTCTGTTTTCAATTATTGAAAAAACTACGAGAAATATCAACAAACGACCTCCGAAAATGCACCGACTGGATTCAAAATGCTACGAAAAAAAAGGCACTCGTGTCGTATCAATAATAATTATACGCACTACCTACCTCCGAAGCGTGTCGGGTTCAACGATTTTCCGCGGCCGACGATACGATGATGTCGGTCGAGATTTCGTTCGATCGTCGTAATTTTTTCTTTTTTTTATTGATTTCGTTGTCGGTCGAGATTTCGTTCGATCGTCGTAATTTTTTCTTTTTTTTATTGATTTCGTTAAAAGAATTGAACGATCGCGTCGATGTATACGCGCGGCGTTGAAGAGTTGACCGAAACAAAATTACGCGTCATAATATTATATGAGGTGTCTCGCAGCGTACGTCCCCGTATAAATGAAATTGTTTTCTAAACTCGGCGTTTTAAAGTCGGATTAATAAAAAAGAAAAAAGTCAATTTTATAATTCGGTCGGACTAAAAAATATCGCAGATGACCTAAAAAAACTTAATTGGTATTTTAATGAGAATTCGATTTGCAATCAATTTACTTTTTTTCCCGTTTTAACGTTATCATTGTATAATATAGTGCTGCCGCAGCTATATGCACTGCAGTATTCGTAAAAATACACAAGAACATCGAGAAGACGGCGAATGATATTAATTAGATAAAAAAAAATCGACTTAAAGCGAATATTACGAGCATTTTTTTAATTTTCAATTTTTTTTTTTTTATTATTCTAAACGTTAATTTAGCGTACGTTCAACAGATTATTCGATTTTCCGGTATTTCATAACATTGAAAAAAAAAAATAATTTTTACATTAAAATACCCTATCGTGTTTTTTATCGTAGATAATTATAACGACGTGTAATATACATACCACGAAACAGGACAACACTGCGATATTTTTGATAGACGGCATTTTCGTTTTGTTTTTTTTTTTTTTTTTTGTCACACAAGCGATGTCAACTCTGCTGATGTCTGTACGGAAATAATTGAAGTATACTGCGGATCGCCGGCCATATATATACCTGCGTGTGTACCTACCTGCGGATTTTTGTTTGATCTCTCGGATTTATTGATGCAGGTGAATCTCGAACCGTCGAAAAACAATCACGGACGGACCCGGATAGCAAATATAATGTCATGAAGTGTTGACGTAGTTGAATAATATGTACAGGATGGTACGCGAAATGCGTGTAAAAAAATTAAATAATGAATGGAGAACTATTGTTTGTTCGACGGGTGGGGGGGGGGAAATAAATAAAATAAAATAAAAATCTAAAGGTAGTTCGCAAATTTCTACGCGATTTTCACGTCGTTTCACTGCCTATTATGACGTATTATTATACGTGCCTAACGACTGTGCAAATAAACCGTGTGTTTTTTTTTGTTTAGTATTTTGGCTTTTTCCGAAACACCCTATACCGCCAGCGGCGACAGGTAAGTACGCGTTTCGGACGTTTTCGTCGGTTGACAGTTGACAGTAATGATATGCAGATTATCATTATTTTTTTTTTTTTAAACTCTTCAATAAGTTCATAATACGTGACGCTAATGAAATTTGACAAACGAAAATATCAGTGTACGTCACCGCGGATCGTTTAAACGCAATAATTTACAATATTTTCCTTTTTTTTTTTTTATTAACACGCCGCCGAAACGATTTGAAACCGCGCGTAATAATAGTGCATATTTTGTAAAACGGCACGTAGACTGCGCCGCAGTGCCGTGATGATGTTTTGTCTAGACAATATTATTATCATTATCTTTTGTCTACGGTCCGGTTCCGATAAACGGGAAACGGCGTTTATCTTACACCCGGCAACGATAATAGCCGTATCGACAAATCCATCCGTGATAAATATAAAATGTAAATAATATTAAATGAGAAATAATCGTCGATGAAATCCGTTTTGATACCCTCGGTTCGTAAATTAATTCATAGGGGCCCTCCTGACGGTCGTTGTTTGTTAATTTTTTAACCAATTGTTAACAACCGTTGATTGCGAACCATTGAAATTTACAATATACCCAACGAATATTTCGTTCGCTTAGTTTTAATTCGCGTAGCGATAGGCGCAACTGTAAGGTTCCGGACGCGCTATTGCCCGACCAAAATTGTACAAGCTGAACAACCCCCGCCCTTATTTATACCGTCGCAACGAATTTTAAATTCTGAGCGAAGCGCGGAACGTCGACGTGTGTATGTGGATGCGTGTGTATGTATATGGATTTATTGGATGCGACACTGTCGTGAGCCAAGTAAGCCAATCGTAAAAATAGCCTATTTATCCGTAGATACCTATGATATCTATTTTATCTACTTAAAATTCTAAACGTCCACCGCCATGATCTAATCAGTTTTAGATTCGGAGCGGAGAGCGGGATTTATCGGTTTTACACGATGCGATGTGCTTTTATTTTTTATTTTTTTTTTCGGTCTGTAAACAACTTTTTGAACAAAAAACCTTCTCCAATCGAAAAATATATCACAAATCTTTTCGGTAGCGAGAGTCATTTTTTGATATTCCAAAAGTTTTCAAAACAATTGGAAAAACACCGGAAAGGAAATTATAGGAAAGAACGGTTTCATAATTTTAAATGTTTTTTTGTTTGTTTTAATTCAGTTCAAAATATTTGTAGAAACCTCACATTTTGACAGATAAATTATATTTGTCTTGGTAAGATGTTCAAAACATTTAGGCTATTTATAAGTTGTTTACAGACATTTTATATTTGCGAGTTTTTCGCGCAGTTTTTATTTGGTAGGTAGGTAGTATATGAATACGTTTGACCAAATTCATGGTCTTAAATTTAATGGTCAAAAAAATGTTTTTTTTTTTTTTTTTTGTTTATGATTTTAAGATCAAATTTTGATGAAAAGCGTAAATAATTCGGCTTTTCATTAACAAACGAGCTATTCTCTTTATGAATCGTTTTTTGTCAGCAATGATTTATCATTACTTATGGATTTAAATTAAAAAACTTTACGTAATCTACCTTCCCACCTTCAATAGTAGCTTGTTCATCAGTATCGGCTCCTTTTTAATTTTTTAATTATTTGTTCTCAATCGCTAAAAATTTGCTTATCTGTCACACGAGATTAAACAATTTTTTCCTACATAAATGTATACTAACATTTTAACAAATTAATAGTATTTTTCTATCTATGTTCTTGTAAATACGTTTGAAATGTGTTCACTGTCAATATTATTTGATATATCTCTGTCAGTATGCATGATGGATAAATTTGAATACCGTAATTACAACATAGTTGACCGTAACAATATTTGGATTCGTCTCATCACAGAAAACGACCTTTTACGGGTTGCACTACTTATTGACAAAGTACGAGTAAATGCAACACCAAGTAGCTTGTATGAATTCGAAGAAGTAGTCTTATATACGACACTTACAATTTGCTTTGGATCACCAAGTATTTGTTCAGGATACACAGTTTTAAAAGCGTTTCTCGAAACATTTAGATTTTGATAACATTTTCAATATTTCACAACTTTTTTATATTTCAAACGACGAAATAATGCACTTAATTTGTATAAACTAAAAGAGGTTTTGAGGGGTTTGATTTTAGTCAAGGAGGGGCTTAGCTTCCCTCACCTCTCTAATTGCTCTTCAGAGATTGTGTATGGCCTAGTTATTTTCAACTCAAGGCATGTTTTACATTAGGCAAAATTGTTGTACCTTGTAGAGTGATCAAGTTTTGAACATTTTCTTTCTGCTGGAAAGAGCAAAACATCCTACGAGGAGCAAAACATCCTATGATGATCGAAATCGTTTCAGAGTTATGTTTGTTTGAGAGTTTTTTTTTTGTAAAGCATGCTTTTGGGCAAAACAAATTGTTCCACGCAGACCTCGTAAATTAAATCAATCAAACGACCTTTTTGAAATAGGATTCTCATCTACTATTTCAAACTCTGTGTATCTGGTACACTTTTATGCACTTACTTTTATTACGATTAATTATGAACAAACATTCGTAATCTTTTTTTATCTAGATAAAAATTGATAATTTATCATTATCTACATTATATTATTGTTGTAGTATTTATCTATAATCACATCATCTTAGTCCAGATATATTCAAGTGTATCCTTATACAACATTGCAGATTACGTGGAAAGTACGCATACAAATGTCCAACATTAAAAAAAGAAAACTATAAATGTTATTTATCGGATTTCAGATCGTATCGACTGTTGGATTATTATTAACAGCGTGTATAGTATTTGGCCTTATTTTACATTTCACCGGTTTTTTTTTCTCAGACAAAATCCCCGTGACCAAATTGCGGCAAGCCAGAAATTTGTATGATATCTCAAATCTACTGGCTCACACAATATCCCTTTTGTCATTAAAAAAACAAATTACGCCTTTTTTTGGTCATTTTAGATACTGATAAGCACTGTTGCGATAAAGTAATAATAACATTTTATTTGTTTTGTAGAAATACACGTGGAATGGGTTATTTTGTAACAAAAAAAAAAAAAACCAAAATAATCGTTTTTGAGCGACGAAAATTGTATAGAAACGTCTAATCGCGTAACTGACTGATATTTTTTATATATCTCTCTCTAACCGTCTCCCTATCTCTCTCGGTGTGTCTTTCTCTTTTTCTCTGTTAACTTATTCCGTTCGGAAAATGTACAGAAGCATTTTTGCGGAATTCCGGATTTATAATTAACGCATACCTCAGTTTTCATCAAAATCGATTTAGAGGTTTTTTTTTGTATTATTATTATTTATCTAGTAAAAAATACTCATCGTTTACGAAAAAGTTCGGTTCTGTTATTCATAGCTATTTATATTATTATACCTATTGGACTTTTTTGAGCGATTCGCCCTTATTGTAAATCTCAGACATTATTTTCAAGGTTCGGCGGGCGAAAAAAAAAAGGTCCATTTAAAATATAAACCCCGCAGTCGATATGTTTTCTAATATACTTTAACGGCTTATATATACTGAGAGCGAAAAAAAATAAAAATGTTTAAAAAAAAAGGTTTACTAACCGAAGCCATATTTTTTTCGCCTTATAAATTAAATATCGTAATCGATCCGCACCCGCTATACCTACGCCCTACGCGTACAGCCCTATTACTCCTATTGCAGGCAGGATATAATTAATTCGTATATGCAAATCGTTATTGCCTATCCATAGTAATACGCAGTTTTTGAACGTACTCGCCAGCAGATAATAATTAATGGGGTTTTTCAATGATGAATCGATTATATTATAATACTAAAACAAATTGTATTTTAAATTACCCACTTAAAATAATGCATTTTCACGTGTTAAATGATCATAATATTATTTTAATACCAATAGAATTACAAAGAAATTCTCCCCCCCCCCTCCACCGCGTACATTACTCTGATGCGGACCGTTTTGCTAAATAATATAAATAATATTATCATAATAATAATAATCGTTTGGAAAGCAAAATAAAAAAAAAAAACCAACAGAGTATAATGTAATACGAATATTAATGATATTAATAATAATAAAAAAAATCGTTTGATTATAAAAAATAATATTTACGTAATTTACGAATATTTAACGTGTGTATACATAATATTACATTATAAAGAGGTCAAAAAAAAAAAAAAAAATAAATAAATAAATAAAAAAAAATCGCAATCCGAATCGCATCCAAATAATTCAAACCGACCGATGTATATAATACTCTAAAAACAGTATTATAAAAAAATGATGACGCATTTCGTAAAAAAACAAAAATGAACATTGGTTTTATTTTTTTTTTATTGTGATGTAACAAAAACGGTTTTTAACGATGATGCATGTGTATTTATTTGTGTTAATACGTCAATCGGCGGTGATGACAACAATATTACGATGCGCGTTTCGGAACGGAATCGTTAAATCATTCAAATCGGGTGGTTCCGGTAGTTCTGCGCGTCATCAAATATTATTTTAATCGCGTGCGCCGATTAACAGCACCGTAACAAGAGATTTGAGACCGTTTCGGAGAGGGTGTGTGGAACATGCCATTCGTAATGTATTCCGCAAAATACGGGCTCGTTATGTAATACACCAATTAAACGGAAGTTTCGGGGGTGGGGATAAACCCCGTTTCGCTCCTTAGCTCCGTTTTGGACTGCAGCGTCCGCACTGCAACCGAATGGCCGATCATTATTTGCGAGATAATGCGGTTTGATTCGTATTCGTACACATTATAATATTACAATGCACAGCCGCAGTCCATTAACAATATCCAACGTTTATGGTGTTTCGTCTGCGAACGTGCGTTTGCGTACCCAAGAGTCGTTAGCGCGAACCGAACAAGTTTTCGACCAGAAGACTTGAGTAAAAACAAAGAAAAAAAAAAACACCCCGTTTTACGCTCTTTTATGTAGCTTTTTCGATTTAGTCGGTGCGTTGATGCGGTCATTCGTTTAAATTCGTTCCTATAATAATGAGAATACTCTAAAAAAAAAAAAAAATGACTTGTTATTTCCCTCTATGTGTGTTTATTACAAAAAAAAATCCCAAGACTCGAACTTTTTACTGAATACTCACCAATGTTGACATTTTTATAGGCGACGAATTATAATGTCCAAAATAAATTATAAGTACCTATATAAATTACTTGATAGACGGAAATGTTGAGTTTTTTTTTTTTTTTTATAGAAATATTTATGGCCGATATGTGCTCGAAAATCCGATAAAACTGTTGCCATATTATGTTTTCTCATCAGGATTTCAGGATTTTTTTTTTTTTTTCACATAAACGTCCGAAGCCCGTGTTTCGACGAAATCCGTGAAAATCGCCAAAACCGTATAAATCAATTGCAGCTGTAATTAAATTAAATTTAAAAACAACGCCATACTATCAGCGATTACAAATTTTTTTCACAAGTCGGTCTAATTCTATGAGTAAAAAAAAAAAAAAAAAAAAATGTTATTTTTCGAGGAATACGCGCGGGATTAAATAAAAAGAAAAAAAAAATTAAATTGAACAACGTCCGAACCAATCGTGGTTTACTGCCGTATGGTTTTATTTAAACGTAAAACAATATCAGTTTATTATGTCTGACACGATACAATAATGTTATAATTTATAGTAATAAGAGTCCATTCATATTTATCGTGACGCGGTGTGTTCCGCGAAGCGTCGGAATTACAGCAATAGCGCACTGTTTATGGGAACGTTGTCGCTGTACACCACGGCCTGCAGGGCCAAGTCGGCTTTGTAGGCGTTCAACGCCTGTTGGTAATTCTGGTATTGGTCGTCCAAGAATTTCTGGGCCTTGTTGAACTTGTCCAGTTTTTCGTCCAGTTTCGATTGGGCGACGGCCTGGTTCTTGTACAGTGAGTAGTAGTCGAACGCGGCCTGGGCGTTGAAACACACGTTACCCAATCCCTGGTTCAGCGAGTAAATGCTCTTCTTCAGGTCGTTGTACGATTTCGTGTCAATCGGGTAACACGCCATCGGCAAGGTCGGAATGCCGGTCGGCGGCGTGACGGGTGCATTCGGCGTGTAGGTGCTGTCGTAATTCGTCGAGGTACTGGACACCACGGTCTTGGTCGTCTCGGATTGGGCCGGCGTACAAGCTACGGTCTGAAAAAAAAAAACACCCGATTGCATTAAACGATATTATTATAACATTAATTGTCGTTCAGCGCGACCAGTTTTGGCGGTGAAAACCGTCGTGTTTAAAGCGAACGGTTTGCGATTCGTCAAACAAAGGTCGGACGGTGACCGCGACGAAAAGCCGACCAACCGAATATGCGTTGTTACGGTTTTCGAGGGATAAGTTTCCGGAAAAATATTTCGACCAATATTTTAATTGATGTCGGAACATTGCACGGTGAAACGTTTCAAACTCGGAGGGTTGATCGATTTTGACAAAAAAAAAAACTGGCGTCTGGCGTTGACGATTAACACGGGTCGTTATGGTTGATCAGGTGATCGGAGACGGCCCCGAAGGGTAAAAAGCCTTTAGGGAGACCGAGGTTAAGCGGGAGAGATTGTGTTGAGAACGGCGTTAAAGCGGCGGAGAGTTCATTCCCATAACGTGGTACGGACGAGTTTTGCGTCTGGCGGTATTGTCTCAAAGGACGAAACCGTCGGGAAAAAAATAAACAGAAGAAATTTCAAAGAACAATCGAAAACAAAATATTCGACGCGGACCGGTGGCGTTTTAAACAATTATAACGGTGAATTCGGGAGATATGAATGTTATGTTATTATCGAAACGCGTCTGTACGTACCACGGCGAGAAAACAAAAGGTCATCAACTTGGCGTCCATTTTTGCGGCGTGACTGCGGTATACTTGTTACTCTGTCTGTTGTTCGTTCAAACACCGCGGATTGCGCAGAATTATCTAACGCCCGGACACCGAAACGGCGGGTTTTATACGTGTGTTTTCGTCCGTCGTCCCGTCGTCGCACCCGCGCAAATATTGTTTCAGGTGTTTCGCGGGGCACCGTGATTCGATCGTCGGCTGTCAGCGAACCGCGCAGACGAGCCCGTAATTGCTCTCGCGCGTGACGGCAAAACAAATAAGAACGGTTTTGTTATTTTACGATTTTTTTTTTTGATTTTTTTTTTTGTCAAATATTGTACGTACAGAACGTTTCGGGAATCGTTATCGGCGCGGGGCCGGTAGGATAATTGCTGTTGATCATTCGCCGTTTTCGTGTTTTCCCCCCTCGAAAACCCGACCCGGGCCCGATCCGGCGCGCGCGACCCGTCTACCGCGCGAGAGAAAACGAAAAAAACCCGAAAAAACGCAACGACCCGCACGCGTTCCGCGCGGCACGGCGACGCCCCGCGGATCAGTCCGGCTACGTAACAATCATTAGGTACCGTTGTCGTTGGCGCGTTCGTCGGATGTCCGTGCAAACGCAACGCTATCGTTCCGTCGTCGTTATCGATACGCCGTAAACAATACGCGCGTTCAGACGACGCGCCGACAAACAATCAAACGTTCGGCGCATTCGAACCCGTACCGTTTTTTTCCGCGTGCGAATGAACGTCGCCGGGCGGCCCGCGGGCCCGACAGGCGGACGCGCGTCCGCGCGTCGCTTCGCGGGTGGTGGCGCGCCGAGTGTTCGGTTCGTTGAGAGGCCGAAACAAACCGCCGAATAGATTCGCGAACGCGTGGGTTTCCGCGAAGAAATTTTTTTTTTTATCTCTCCGGCGTGCGCGGAGAATCGGTAAAAAAAGAACGAAAAAAAAAAAAAAAGAGATAAAACGTTCCCGAGTCACGATGTACATTACGTTAATTATAATTATTAATTACCGTGATATTAACGTTACGCGACCGGAGCGGCCCGTTGTGAAAATTACCGAATTCCCGAAGGCCCGACACACCCTTCCCCAGTCGATACTAATAAGAATAACGACCTTTTAAATGTTTAATTTTTATATATACCACCATAAAAGACCGTAAAAAAAAAAAAATGTAATTTTAACGTATTATATTTTATTAAATTTATATTCTAATGAAAGAACATAATTTTATATTATAATATTTTGTAACAATTTATCAAAGGTAGTGCAAATTGAAAATAAAAAAAAAACCAAACTAAACCAATTTTAGATTATAAACGTAGTGAGGAACGTATTGGTTTTACAACGATGTTTTTATCTACTATCAGACAGAGAATGAAACCGAACCGAAAAGAACCGGTTCTGGAACCCGAAAACCCTCAAAATACTGGGACCCGGGACCGAATTTAAATATTTTTAAATAACCGGAATCGGTGCCGAAACCTATTTTTTTAAATAAAAAAAAAAACGGGTTTTACATTTTTTTTTTTTGTGTTTTTTCCTCCGTGTCTTATTTTATCGGCTATACCACAGATTAAAATACGATCGCTTTGATAAACTATTTTTTATATTTGTTCAAAGCTGTTTATTTCTTGTGAAATCGTGATAAGTAATGTTATTACTTATGAACTCTTTTTTTTTTTGTGTATTAAAGTTAAAATAAAAATAATCCATAGGACACAGATACTAATCAGTTACAACAGTGTATTATTATTTTATCGACTACTGTCAATAAACGTTACAAACGTACACTGTTTCGGCAGCGAAATAGAGTTCTGTAATACTACAACACTACTACTGGTGTAGCCGTCATTCAAACGTCTTATTGCCTCAGGTCGTCAAGTTTTAGGGTCGTCGACAGTGGTCTGTATGAGGGAAAGTTGCTCACGGCGAGCACGGAAACGCCATCCGCAGTCCTTGAGCCCCTACGCAGGGAACACGAGCAACGTCCTTTAACCGCCGAGAGGCCAGGTACATGAATAAATAAAAATATATACATTTTTGGAAATCGTTTAATACCGGTCTCAACTAGAACCCCGACTTAAACTGCTTAAATTAATTTTCCGAAACCGGAACCGGAACCAGAATCTTTAAATAGAAATTGCCATAAACCTGAATCGAAACCGAAACCCTTTAATAAAATAATAAAGTACCGGAGTCGTACAAACCAGAAGATCCCAGTCCCGGCTACCAGAAATGCTGCTCCGATTTTCAAGTGTGGCCCTTTTCCTGAAAGAACCGCTGGTACTTTATTATTTTTCGGTGTTCCCGGGGATTTTCGTAATAAACGGGAATAAACGTAGGAAAAACGTAAATATTTCGCCTTTTCGAAACACGCGCCGCCGAATTCAGCTCAGAATCGTTATTCGAATAACCGCTGCATACAGATGTACATTTAAACCACCCCTCAACCATCAACGGTGGCCCACCAAACGTGCGAAGTACGTCCGTTTGTTTTTGTTATTTTTTTTTTTTGTACTTATTCTAACTATAGTTATTTCATTAGAAACAATATTACATAAATTGCAATTATCCAGTAACGGTCCGAACTGCAATTATATCGGTACGGTACTCGGAATGAAAACTCAACCATCAACGGTGGCCCACCAAACGTGCGAAGTACGTCCGTTTGTTTTTGTTTTTTTTTTTTTTTTTCATTTTTACGTAGCTATACGTATGTTCTACCGAATAGCGATTACGGTTTTTAGAAATTACAATCATTGCAATCAATTTATACGTCAGAGATTACATCGAAAAATTCAATTATCATTTTAAACGTAAGGCTTGTTGAAACCTAATGACACACATAAGTCATATAAAACGAAAATCCAACTATCACAAGTCACTTAAAGACCACGAAACTTTAAATTTCTTTATAACAGTTAACACTAAAGTGGACATGTTAGATATTAAATCGAATCGATTATCGGCCAAGACATTATAGAATATTATCAACGATTTTTCAAAATTTTATTTTCTCTTCTTCCGGAAAACTAGGCGTTTTTTTATGACCTTCATTATACCATGCACCAAACAATTTTGCAGTGACAATAATTCACTAGTGTGATTTATCTCGAATAACGTAATATTCTTGACGAACGCCGAGCGTTCGCGCAATTCTTACCGTCTAAATCAGTGTTTCTAGACATTTTAACTGTCGTAACACCCTAAACGAATATCCGATTTTTCCGATGACCCTTAAATATAATATGTTTTATACAAGGTGGCCCGATTTATTTACATATTGGCGGCCCGAAATGATTAGTTGGCGATCCCGCTAGTTGGGAAACACATGGACTATAGATTTTCTTCGTCGTATTTTCGTCTACACAAACGTTTTATTCGGGCGGTATTTCAATACACGTCAATATTACCAACGTTTTTATTTTCGTAAACATATTTTAGTCGAACTCGTTTTGCAGTTTCGATCGTAACGGCTCAACTATTCGGACGCCGATTGGTCAAATTGGGGGTGGGGCAACCTCATACCGGTCTCCCACTCGTAAAATGAAGTTTTACGTTTGGGGACATTTCGGATTTAGCCAAATCGTATATGGCATCGTTGTTCGCAACTTTTCGGCACCGTTTTCGATCGAACCGTCCGAGGCAGTGTTGGCTTCACGTGCATTTGATACTACAGCGTGGCGGTAGGCGATATTTTTTACGATTGACGCGCGACCAACGATTGCTATACGAATAATTATTATAATTTTACATTCGCAATGATAACTCATGACGCCGCGGCGTTGTCGGTGCGTAATATAATGATATTGATTATTACAATCAAAACAACGACAGTTGCGCGTGTGTAACCGTTAGAATCTTAATAAGCAGTTTATGACAAATAATAAACAATGCTATATTTGAAAAAAAAAAAATAAAACAAAAAAATACCTAATTGTTGTATAACATTGAACGTCATACGAACATATTACGAACGATAATTCGCGTTTTTCGTATTCTCGGGGGGAGAGGGAAAGTGAAAAGGAAAAGCTATTGGTCGGCGACAAAGTATTTCCATCCCTCCACTTGTCTGTTGCCGGTTATAACGGTTTGAGACAATAAAAACGTACGGAAAGTTCGTACCGACCGACTTTATATTATATTGTATTTACAGATTGGTAATTGAACACGGGCGGCACGTTAAATTTAATATAGTCGGGCATCTCGAATTTCCAGCGCGATTCTTCGGAAAACGTTGAACGACCGAAGAACCGAAAAAAAAAGAAATAATTAAATAGACGACCGGAAATCCGAGTTTCGACGTTGCGATAATTCCGGGGGCCAATTTATTGTATTTTTCGGCGGTAGTCGTGTGTGCGTACGCTATAATATGTAAGTCGATCGAAAACATATTTCGCTTTGTTCTCTCAACCCCTCCGTAAATAGGGGCGAACGACTATTCGATCAATCATAACAAATTCGGAAATTGAGTTATTACACCAGGCGCGAAAATAAAAATTCCATGGATATCTCGTGGTGTGATCGATAAAAATCTAACGCGGTGACCCGTTCGAGAGACAAATCGGGTCCGTGACCCGATACCGGTAAGTTATCGCTGCTGCGTTTGTAGATTCTGAGCTCAAGGGAGGGCGTATAAATTTGAAAACTATCGTTTTTTTTTTTTTTTTTTTGTTCCTTAACAACTTTACTACTAGAAATCTAGTGCCTATCGAAAAACGAAAAGAAAGCTATTTTTTAGCATTTTGAATCTATTTGTTTGCGTCGAGGAGGTGTTCATTTTTCGTTTTTCCGAGGAGTTTTCATAATAAGTGATTGGAAAAAAGTTTAGGAAAAACGGAAAAACTTAAGCAAATACAATTTAGATTTTTCGATTTTATTTTTCTTCCGGTACTCTTGTTCCAAATTACAAATGTACCATCATTTATAAAATCAAAACGTTGTCTAGTTCACGTGTTTGGAGGTTGTTTTTAATTTTTTCTTCTCATTTTCTGCCTGGCATAAACCGGATAAAAGTACCTAGGCAAAATAAGAACGTTTATAAAAATAACGGTTTATCTATTTTCAAATCTTTTATTTTGTTTTTATTTGGCTAAAAATAATCGTGAAGACCTGAAAGTTTCACAAAATACTTTTATTAGGCTTGTATAGACGTGGTACAATTTCCAAAATATTTATGCACGGTTAAAATAATTTAAGTAGATACATCTATGCGAAACTGTTACGTATTTGTACAATGTTTATTGCCAATGAATAATGTAACCATACGTTTTCATGGATTTTTTTTTTTAAGCATTTAAATTTCATATTTTAACGAAATTCGTAAAATTCACGAAAAACGTATACAATAATTGCCGGTATAATTAAATTAAATTTTAATTTAAATTTAAAACACCATTGGTCCGTTACATTTTTTCGCTGGTTGTTCACCTAACTCATAATATTATAATATTATACTTGTATTTTCCGAGGAGAACAAGGATTCGGGAGTTAGCGGTATAAAAATAACATAGAGTTTGAAATTGTCGTAATTCATTATTGTATGGTTTTATTTAAAATGAGTGAAACAATATGAGGTTATAATATGTTTGACATAATATAATATATTGGTTATAACATTAAGTGTATGAGTTTATTAATACGATAACATTATGTGTTCCGTCGAAATTACAGTAATAATGCACTGTCAATGGGATACTCTTCCTTAGTTATAACAGATTTCAAAGCCAAGTCAGCTTTGTAGGCATTCAACGCCTGTTGGTATTTCTGATATTGGTCTTCCACTAATTTCTGTGCTTTACCGAACTTGTCCAATTTTTCGTCCAGTTTCAGTTGGTTGACGACTTGATTCTTGTATAACGAGTAGTAGTCGTACGCCGCTTGAGCGTTGAAACATATGTTATTTAAACCCTGGTTCAACGAGTAAATGCTCTTCTTCAAATCGTTGTAGGCTTTTGTGTCGATCGCGTAATACGAAAGTGGAAGGCCGGACGGTGCAACGTACCCGTCGTAAGTCGAGGTACTGGACACAACGGTTTTTGTCGTCTCGGATTGAGCCGACGCATAGCAGATGAACTGAAAAAAAAAACCGATTGCATTGCACGTTATTAATTATCGAAACTTGTTGTGGCAGTGAAATTGTCGTTGTTCAATGTGGGTGATCTGTAGGTTGTAGGTTAAAGGACAAAAAAGCAACTAAGAAAAGCGGACGAACTAAGATTATAACGGTTTTTGAGAGTTCCGAGTAGACTTTAAAAAAAATACAACATGGCCCAATAATTGATATTACACCGTGATTAATATCGAATTCAGTTATAAACGTTCGAAACCGTTAGAGAAATCATTAAAAAAAAAATTCCGATACGGACATCATAAGTTTAGCAGGCGATTGAGGAAGACCGATGATTTTGTATTTTGCAGTCTGGTTTCCAAGAGGTTAAGGCCGAGAAGAAAATAAATTAAGTGTAAAAATAATTTTAAAGTACCGGACGATCGAAATATTACACACGAATGATAACATTTCAGAATATAATATATTTTAGAGATAATTTTTTATTATAATAAAAGACCGTACGTACCATGGCGAGAGCAACAACGACCGATAACTTGGCGACCATTTTTGTGATTTAACTGTGTTGTATTTTTATTAATATTGTTTTAAAACCGCAAATTGCGTAGGATTGTTAGAACTGATGCTTGGACAACGAAACTGGCGGTTTTTATACGAAATTTTTGTCCGTTGTCCCGTACTCGCACAAATATTGGTTCAGATGTTTTGCAGGGCAACACGATTTGCTCATTAACTGTCGGTAAACAACCGACGGGGCCGTAATTACTCGTATTTTCGAGCTACTTACGCGTTTATAATATTATACATTAGATATTTAACATTTTAAAGTTTTTTTTGTATTATTTTTTTTTTTTTGTTTCTATTTGGTTTAATTTTTGTTTATTGTTCAGCCACGTTTGAAAATTTAACACGAAATTCATTATAAGTTTAATTTAGTAAAAAAAAAAACTTAAAATATTCGAGCTTAATAATATAATAGTTTTTTTTTTTTTTACAAGCCTTTTTTTTACCTTTTACAAGGTAAAATTTTAAAGAAAATCTTGAAAATGATGACTTTTCAAAACACGTATAACCGATTAACCGAACTTCGCTCTGAATTCTTTTTCGTTACCAATTGTTTATTTAAATAAAATAACTTTATGTAGGTATCCACCCTTTCAACTTTCCATCCACAACAGTGGCACACCCAATACCATAATCTGCTCTTATTTTTTGTTTTGCGTCTACAATTGCAATTATTATTTTTTGATCGCCGTCAATTTGCCACTTAACAAATGAACAGAAATCGCGGTTCTGGGAACGGTATCCGAAATACATTTGTGTTTTGTCGGCGTGTCGGGGAGGCCGAATTTCGTTATTCGTTTAATAACAAGAGAAGACCGGAAAAAAACGGGAGTATTTACGGAACGACGCGGTTTCTGTTAGATTCGGTTAGGTTGGGTTCGTCGGAAAATAATCGTACACATCCGACATTTCTGTCAAACATTTATAATTCATATATTTAGTTTTCGGAATATTTTGATGTTTTTTTTTTTTTTTTTCGAATAGTTTACGGCCGTATTGAAATTGTCGAAATATCGAAACTCAATCGACGAAAGTCGTAACGAAACCGTCATAGAGTTCGAATAAACGCACGCGTTTACTGTCGGGCGGTCGACCCGTACGGCGTACGGTAACATCGGGAGATAACAGACTACACTCGTCGCCGACGCCCGTGCGACGGAACATTAAAGGGAATCCGCCGCGCCGTACCGCGGGGGGCTTGCCGCGTAATATCATCGAAAACATGTAAATTACACGCGCGAACGACAACGTGTCGGTCACGTGGGTACCGTATCGCCGTTAAAATTTAATCGGTATCTCCCGGACGACGACGACGACGACGACGTTGACGTTATTATCGCGGCCGTCGTCGAATCAATACCGAACGGAATTATTGAACAGGTAGCTCGCCCGCGCCGGACGGATTATACGCGCCGCGTGCGTCTTAACGGGGTTCCAGTGCCCGTCGGCGCGCGCGCCGTGTGAACGACGCGTTTTACGAGACCGAACGCCGCGGCGACCCCCGCAGCGGGTACGGCCATTGTAAACGTGTCGCGCCCGGTATAACGCGCGCGTCGACCGCGAAATCGCGAAACCGCGCGGGGTTTCCGCCGAAACGGCGCGTCCGGGGCCGGGCGAAACGGAATCGCGCGTCCGAGGACCGGGCGTGACAACCGGGACGACACGTTCGAACGGAACGCGTCGCCGGGGAACGGGACGGTTGCGGTTTGACGAAAAAAAAAAACGTTTTGCGCGCGAACGCGTTAGTTACGGAAAACGGCCGGCCCGCCGTACGCCGGCACCGCGCACTTCGGCAACGGTATTTGTTCCGGACACGGGGCCACCGTTAGAGACCCCGTGATACAGCGGCAGGGCGGCCGGATTATGCGAAAGCGAACGCGCAGCGGCGTAGACGTTCTCGTTATTTCCGACGAAACGATTCGCTGTAATGTTAAACTCGAGGTGGACAATCGATCCCGGCTGAATAATGTAATTGTCGCAGCAGAAAAAAAAAAAAAACACAAAACAAAATTTAAAAATTGTCGCTTTAAAACACGAAAAAATAGAATAATAATTTTGTCCTACTTGGACGCCGATAAAAGGCATTTGGATACAAAATGGCGGACCCGCTCACTTACCACTCGGGCTCTCTCTGGGTACTATTTTTCGCGAACGACTTTAATCAGACGATAACCGTGTCCGGTATCCGGTCCGAACACAGTCTGTAATATGAATTGCCCGCGTAATTTTTTTCGATAAGTCCGCTAAGGGATACTAACAATATTGTTACGGTTACCGCCGTAGCGGCTACGCCGAGTCTAAAACGGTTTTTGGAATGTTTAAAAAAGCCATTGACTCGCATTACATAAAAAATAATCTTTAGTACCGATTTGATAATAATTTAACTCCCGAAAAGCGTTGTGTCGGTGTTTCATTTTCCCGTTTAACGTTTTCCGTCATATCCGTGCGTTATCACGAAAAAACATTATTTTTTTTTAACAGCGGCGTCGTATTATTCGCAAACAACATTATTCATTTAAAAATACGGCTTCTCAAAAAAATTGATTTCTGAAAAAATATTTTCCCGAGAAATAAAGTTTCGTTCGAACAATTTTTCGATTCGTACGCCGCTTCCAATAACAACATTAATGTCGGCGACCACCACCGGAAAAACATCGCGGACGATTTCAAAATTCAAAAGTGTACAAATATAAACAAATTCACTTTACGATTGATCAAAATAATTTAAATGCGAGTAGTGAAAACACCGGTAAATAAATATTGAAATTTTCAAACTTTGATCGAATTTGAATCTAATATATATTTGGTATTAAGGAAGAATGGCTTAAGTTAATTGTTTTTGCGTTTTTTTTTTTTTTGTTATTTGTTTTTATAAATGTCCATGATTCTCGACAATTTTTTCGAAATATCCATAATTTCTATTTTTTTTGAAATTTTTAAACTTAAATTATTTCACCTAGTTGATTCGCGCCTTGAGAACCAATGATACACGCCCTAGAATAAATTATCGAATAAGGGCAATTAAAAGTATCACTACCTTGACACAATTTATACATCGATTTGAACTCATAAACGGACTTGCGACCCTTTCAAAGTGTACGAATTTTCTCTGGACAGTTATAATATCTTTTTAATAACATTTGTTCGAACACGTTCTAAAACGTTTCTTGTAGGTGTACCAAAATTCGAGTTCTCGGTTCTAAAATCGAACAACATCTATTTTCAATTTCATATTACGAGCGTGCTAAATAAAATATACAAGGATATAATACAAATATACAAGAAAATTACTCTACAATTGTATACTTTGCTACTATGTCATGATTAGGGTACGGATGTAAATGCACTTAAAATTCACAAAAAAAAAAAAATTTAAAAACGACAAAAAAGCTCTAAAATATCACTTAAAAAATATTCAAAAAATCTATAAAGGTATAGGAGTTTAAAAGTATTCCCCTCTATTGTTTATAATTTATTAAGAATAATTAAAAAATAATTATTTCAAAGTAATTTTTTTTCAAATATATTTGTACATGTTACAAAGAATAAAATGTTTTATGTCAATCATTTGTCAGTGTTAGAAAAATGTATTTAATTGTGTGAGAACTGTCAGAACGGGGACACTAAAACTCGTCTCCTAGTTTTTTTTTTTTTAAATATTGTTAAGCGCTTTTTTACGAATTTTAAATACATATAATTTCGTGCGCCCTAGTTATTATCATTTGGCACTCATCTAAATTATTTGCAACGTTTATGAATAATAAATTATCGCTTAAGTATTGGAAAATTAAATTGAAAACGGTGACTGACTTGACCTAAAAAAAAACCTAACCGTGGCTAAAGTCAAGTTTTTATTTTATATAAATAAAAAAAAAACGCTACAAGTCGAACCAAATAATTTCCAGTCGGTTATAAATTAAGAAGGACGTGGGGGAAGTGGAGTAGTCTGTTTATTTTTTAATTAGACGGCAACGGTAATTCCATAATACGACGCAGCTTTGAGACTATTATCGAATGTTGAGTAACGTTCAGTGAAATAATGATTTCATGTGGATATTATCGGTTAGGTACTGGTTAAAAAAAAAAAAAAACGTATACCACGTAGCTGTAGAGAAGTTTTGCTTTGCTGAAAACTTTGAATTTACTGAAATATTCGTCGAACAGTACGTCAATTTTTCTAATCGATTTTCTTTGTTATTTTCTAAAAACATAATCCAATATCGTAGACGCGCAGAGATTCCTAAGCGATTTTTAATTTCCTTAGTATTTTGAATATTTTTCGGATTTATTTATAGCCATTTGAAATATTCGAGTTTTCGTGTCAATGTGCTTTTATGTGAAAACGATTTTTTTTTTTTTAATCGTTTTTAAATTCTCGAAAATATGATACACGTAATCCGATGACGTCGTAAGTCGTTACTGGTGGTCAAAGAAATTGCAATCTTACGACATTTTTTATTTTTTTTTTTTTCTTCTGTACACGGAAACAATTCATAGTCAAACGAATGACGTGCACGCCGGAATTCGGACGAACGAACCCGGAAAACGCAATGCACAGTTACGTAAACAAATAGGACGTGGACGAAATAAATGCCGTCGCGGTGAAAGTGGCGGTGCCGGAGACCCGGGGAAAACGCCGGCGACCGGAAAGATCGCATTGCAGTATAAATGCAAAGAGACATTGCTGCTGCACGGAAAATGAGAAACCGCATTTAAAACAAACCTCGGACCGTAGTAGAAATAATAATAAAACGCGAATGGAAGACGAATGATTTTCGATGCATTTGGACGATCGTTGAAAGTTTAAACGACGATTTTAAAGGTCAACAGCGACATTTCGTTTTCTCCGTCCGTGTCCCGCATGCATATAGTAGGCACTATACGCACTTTTACGGTTACTATTGTCTGGTCGGGTCTGTGACAAAGAAAAATATTCGATCGAAAGTTTTTTTTTTTTTTTTTGATATTTTAATTTATTATTATTATTATTATTGTTATTTTTTCTATCAATATATAATTGAGTTTCAATAATTTACCCTTAGCAGCCGTTAAAAACTTGTTAAGAAATTAAATGATTAATAAGAAAAAAAAAAAAAAAACAATTTTCGGTTCAGAGCGCAATAAATAATGTTTTTTTTTTTTAATAAACTGTTTATAATTCGATCCTTTTACCGTAAACTCGACCCCGGAGAGTCGTGGAAGTGTGCTAGACGCCTTTGTTGTCGTGTTACGCGCGAGACGGACGGGGAAAACGTAATAATATTTTTACGTCGGCCTCTTAAAAAAAAAAAAAAAAACTAAAAAAAAACGTTTCGGATCTCCGCGACAAAGAGGTCCGCGCGTAGTCGGCCGCGGAACGAGATAATCGTAATAATATTGCAGTTGTTTTTCGCGCCGAACCCCCCGGACGGCCGCAAACGATTGTTAACACGCGGTATACAATATCGGTTTTGTTGTTGTGCAGGTATGCGGTAACCGTATTAGAAACACGGAAAAAAACAACAAACCGCGTAAACTCCGCGCCGCCGGTGTGTACGTTCGCGGGGGAGAGCGCCCGGGATTCGGGTTGTAATTAATTTTAAAGCCGCGCGGTTTTCGATTAGTTTTAAGCCGATTTGTATTTCGCTTTGGAACGTTCAATACTAAACACGACGCAGCGCATTCCGCGCCGCTCGCAATTATTGCGCGGATTAAATGCGCGCCGCCGTCTTCGGGAATAGCAAAACATTATAATAACAATAAAAATAATAATAAATAATAGTAACAACAGTGACAATAGTAATAATCGTGTAATAATTAATAAACGTGTAGTGTTCTCGTTGCTGCTGCTGCTGCCGCCGCCCCGTGCACCGTACAACGCGTCCGTAAACGGCCACGCGCGACCGTCGGGAAATCTGTGGAGGGGGGGGGAGGGGCGGGATATTAATTTACGGACGTGTGCCGCGGCGTATCTGGCGCACAATCCCCGACCGTAATGAAACGTACGCGCGTTTACGTTGTTCACGTGTTGCGCGGATGTGGAGCGGGCGCCCACCCGGTGTACCCGCCGTCGTCGCCGTAGCGCGTTAATCCCGGTGCCGGACGGTCGTCACGGCGTTGCTGTCGCGACAGCGGCCGTCGCTCGCACGCCGTGCTAGCGGAACGAGTGAGGCCCCCAGGCGGGACAGCGACGGATGGGATTTCCGGCGCGAACGGTCGCGGTGTGCGACACTGCCGCGCAACCGGATTGGCGGACACAATACGCGTAACGCGGTCTCTTCAATCGTATTTAATTCAATATCGCACCCGTTTTTCCGGGTTTTCCGTATTGAGGGAACGGTTTTTCGGTTTTAAGAAAATCAAAAATAAAACGACCTCTTCATGGTGCCGTCCTCGGAGCGAATCCCTTGCGGAAAAAAGTGCCGTCGTTGAAAATCGAAGTGAAATTTCCGGTAGAAAAGTTGTCAACGGAGAAAAACAAAAAAATGAAAATAAATCGACATTATTGTAAAACCAACGCATTCCTCGCTTCGCTTAGAATCCGAAATACTATCCGCCTATTATTTCGATAGGTTTATTTACGAAATACAAATAGTCGACGTCGTGGTACGGCACTAAATTGCGAATTTCAATACGACCTTTTATTGTTTTCAGAAAATATGAACCATTTTTTAATATCATTTTCGCGATTTTTTAAAATCAAAGTCGTTCGCGTTCGTCCGATAACCGAACACGTCCGTGGGTCGTTCAGGAAATACCGAACGCGTTCCCACCGACCCTCGATTGCCGTATACGCGTTCACGCGGTAAAAGTGACCGTCGACGATCGATTATAACGCGCGCCTGTGACAGTAATGTTAGAGTTGCTTTCGCGACAGTTCAACAATCACTATCTATCTGCCTGAACGGCGGTTGTACGCAGCGTGACAACTGTGTAGTGGACCAGGCTTTTCGCGCGAAAACCGAGGGGATCGTGGCGGGTTTTACATTCGCGAGAGTTTCGCACCTATTTGATTATTTAACATCGTACATTAAACATTACCGACAAATATTGACAACGACAAACGTGTATTTTATCTATGTCGTATAAGTTGTGAGAAATGAAAGTGCGCATATTATTTTGGTCGGAGCCAAAATTCTTCTTTTGTACTCTCGACGTGTTAAATGTCGGTCCAGAACATATCCGTAGTAGGAATATCGCTTTTCAAACTCGGCCGTTATAGACGTCGAGAGGGAAATTTCTCGTAATACTATAACGATAACGACGTATTCGAAAAGTACGATAAATTGAAAACCGTCGAATGTACCGGCCATAGTTATATTTCAATAATATTTTATAACGATTATATTTGTATTTGTTCAATATTTTACTACATTATTATATTTTCGAATCGAAGCAAACAAATTTGTTCGGGGCTTTAGCCTCCCCCGTTCCTTCCAGATTCTTTACCTCAATTGCGCCTTCGGGTACAGTGTACATTTGCACGGTATTAAGTGGAAAAAATCGACAAAAAAAAAAAAAAAAAACAAACACGGTCGAAAATGTGTTTTACAATAAATAATAAACCGAATGCACGTTAAAAGCAACGACAATTCACGTTCCTCGTATACGCGCTTTTTTGTTCCGAGAGCAAGCGATTTTCTCCTAAGATAGGGCGCTATATACGTGTGTTCCTTTCCGACGCAGCGAATTTCCCGTCGCGACACGACAAGCTTCTCCGAAAACCGCCACCGCGGTCGTTCCCGTTGCCGGGCTCTGCTGATCTTGTCTCGGGGTCGATTAGCCCCGCAATAGTATCAGTGGCAGCCGTTTAGAAAGAAACCCCCGGCGACGTCTCGGAGAAAACAATAACAATAATAATAATAATAATATCCGCGGGAATTACTTTTGAAACCGGGTTCGTTCGGTCGTGGTGAATTTCGCCGCCGCCCGACGTTCGTTCCGGTAAGCCCCGACGCGCGCAAGCGGTAAGAAAAGCCGAATATGCTACTAGCGGGGTTAGGAGGGGGGGGAGGAGTTTGGAGATCAAAAGATTTAGCGCCGACTACAGTAGACTTTAGCCGAGAACGGGTTCGCCCGGTTTTTCGGTTTAAAAATTTATATTCGAGCGTTGAATCCTATTTCGTTGCGGGCTATAAACGTTACTGTCGACGCAAAAATAATGATTATCATAAGTATTCTAATAGTAATTCAACTGATGCAATTGAACCATATGAATTCTAATTCAACAAACACAAAATTAATTAAATTACGTTTAAAATTTGTCGTCAAGTGAAAATCGTGCGGTGAAACCAAATGGATTGATTTATTCTCATCGAAATTTAGATTCAAAGTACAGCGAGGAAGATAATATTTTCGTTTAGCTAAAATGCAGTTCTTTTCCGTTGGAAAACGGTTTTTCGGTCAGAAAAATTGTTCCGGATTGTTCACGTATCATTATTTAAAACATTCGTATTTTTCGGTCGGTGGTGCTTTATCCGAAACATTTTACTCTCGATCCCTAAAAGTTTTCTAAAAAAAAAAAAAAATTAAAAAAACTCATAACGAATTTAATTAAGTCGATTTTCGCGATACAAATACAAGCGTAGGTCAGATTGTTCTTAAAATAAAAATTCTAGGACATTTAACGTTCTGCCATTTATTTTATTATTTAAGAAAACAGCTATAATGTGGTTAATGAAAAATTTACGAGACTGGGTATACATTATTAATGATAGTAAACGAAAGCATCTGACGTTTAATGTAAAATTATTTATTTTAAGAAATCATTCGGCAAAAAATTTGTGGACTATCTTGCACCAATCTAGTACGAGTGTATTGCCCTCGAATTTAAAAACAAACGTTTGTTTAAAGAAGATGTTTAATGTTAAAAAAACATGTTGAAATTATTATTTTAAACCTGTGTCTAATAACTACGTATAATGCATAACTATTAAACTTAATAATCAAAAAGCAAATCTTTTTTTCTTCTTCTATTCTATCAAATTGTTTACACATTTTTTTTTTTCTTATTGATATAGTAGTTAATGTGTAATTTTTTTTTTTAAATGCGATATAATTATGTAATCTTTTTGTAACCCTCTGCCTTCACCACAAGCTCCCGCTTACAGAAGCCTTAATTGTGCTTTGTTGAACTGTAACTCTAATTAAATAAAATACAATTTAAATATTAAATAAAAAAAAAAAAGGCGAAAAAACCTGTTCTAGGACATTGCTTTTTTTTTTTTGTATCGCAATTATTCATCAAGAATTTCAGTACACAAATTAAATTACCTTATAACATCTCATCCCTCCCGAATCCTCCACCTTCAACAGTGACCTACTCGCGGCACGAAATATGTCCGGAATTTCTTTCGGTTTTCTTTGTTCGGTGCAAATAACTCGAGTAATATTAATTTTGTTCCGAGTTGTTTAATATTTAATGGGCAAGATTTGAAAAATTCTCGGAAAAAATATTATAGGTAAGTACAATATATATATATTACATATATACGTATAATAAACCGATCGTATATCTCGGAACGGTTTTTCAAAGGTGCGGCCGATGATTTATTATCGCTAAAAAATTTACGATATTATAATACGAAACACCGGATTTAATAATATTGTGCCCGTAATTTATTTTTATTTTTTTTAATTGCTCGCAGGCTCATTAAAACGACGGTTTAAATAATAACCGTACATTTTTCATCGCGTACAAGAGTAGATTACCGCATTTTGTTTTTTTTTTTTGTTTTTTACCTTTTGAAAAAATACGCTCGTCCATAAATTAAAATTCAATAGAACGCCGAACGAAAATTCGCTTTCGATCGATAATAAGTACCGTGGATCGACACAAACGCGGTGAACGTTTCCGGCAAATCGACTACACGAAAACTATACACGGCGAATTGTTTCTCACTATTTATCAGTTTTTGATTCGAAACATCTATAGTACAATTCGTATGCAACAAACCATAGTAGTCGTTGTCCGGCATAATAGTCACTGTTGTTTTTATCGTAAACTAATTGATAACATTTGACCACAGCTATAGGTATTTATGGTGTTTTCGGTCTATAAACCCTCTACAATTCACAGCAATCGTTGCGCGATAACCGCAGCAGTCGACGGAATCGGCTGGTTTTTACGCGGTTCGCAACCGAGTTAAACGTTTTTAACGATCGTTTGTTGTAGGAAAAATAAGCGGTTTTGGATTCCGAGTGTAGCGGAGAAGTTTTATAAATATGTAATTTATTTCTTTCTCGGAAAATACTTTTTCGTTTAGTAAATGTGCTTCGAAGTGTTTGCACCGTACAGATGCGGATTTTTCATTCGGCGGTATGTACTTTATTTGAATCGTTATTCCAGATTCTCGGCAGTTTTTCGAAAATACTGACAACGAATGACGGTACATGGGTTTCTTTTTTTTTTTCTTTTTTTTTTTCGATTTCCGGTAAACGTCGGTTACAAGACGTTAAAAACCGATAGTCTAATTATAATTATATTAACGTTACTCGCAAACACCCGAGACCTGCGGTTTGTTTTGGATTTTTAAACATTTTTTTTTCGCATTTCTAACATTGAACTTCGAAATTGACGTTCCGTTAAATTTTTACAACCGAAAGCTTTTTTTTTCCGGTGACTTGTTCAACAATATTATTTCCTTGTACTTCCCCGCTTATAAGTGACCTTTTTAGGTTAACGCTATACGCCATATTAAATCCACCCTGCACCCACCCGTCGTTTTGGCCCCGAAGCGATCGCTATTAGGTACTTTGCTTCGCATAATCCCCTGTTCCTCGCCAGCGAACGCGATTGGCCTTTGGTGGGATAACGGTGTGAATATGTGCTGTAGTATGCTAATTTTGTGATTAACGTTCGAGTTTGCACACCAAAGTCGTGTACCGATTATTAACAGAACACCGTGTCGCGTAGGTACACGAATCACAATGCGACGACTGCAATGGCGACGGTTACTAATCCATTCGTTTGTCCGCACAAACATCGGTCGGACCGCGTTGTACATCACGCGAATAAACACGGCGACTATTGTCGAGCTTATAGGCACTCGGATAATTGAACCGTCGACAATTTTGGTTTGGACAAAACTATCTGGTCGTATAGATACACGGCACGTAAACAAGACTCATAAATCGACATTGATCAAACTGACCTAAAACAGGATCTGGGGGGTGAACACCATAATTTATCGATTAATCGTTACGAATAAAACACCGCCGGCCGGAATTTTTTTTAACTTTTTGATACACCGCGTGAAAATATCGCAGCATTTTTACCGACCGTAAAGCGTTTTGCGAGATAAACAAAACCATAGGAATTAGGAAGGCCGAAATGTGTCTCCCCGGTCCGATTTCATTCAGATTAAGTGCTATCATTGTGTGGCTGAAAAGTTGCCCACAGATAAGGAAAAAAACGTGCACATTATTGTAAAACCAATACATTCCTCGCTCCATTCAGAACCTAAAATTCCACCTTCAATGCTGTTATAACACGCAGTATTAACGGCTCATTTAGCTTGTACATTTATACCATTGACGTTTTTTATTCAAAATAATTTTTTATTAATAATTATAACATCGTTATACAGTGTGATTGTTTTATGTTACCGTGATACCCATCAGCTATTATTTCGAAACATTTTGGGATTTCTGCAGTATTTTTTATTTGTTTTTTTTTTTTTTTTTCATAGATGATAATATATCCATTCGTAGACGTCGACCCGTCTTTATATTCGAAAAATCCAAAGTCGACAATATGCGTTTACGGTATTGCGATATCGCGGATTAAGGGTGAAATTTCGGAAATAAAAATGTACAAATAAGACCGTTAAACGAGATTCCGTACATAACGACTGCGAAAGATAGACAAAAAATAAAATAACCCCCCGCAAATCAATTTTACTCGAAATCATACGTGTATAATAAAAGCGGCCTGGATGGCGATAAAAAAAAAAAAATAAACCGTTCGGTATATACGAACGGTCGTTCTAAATTTTATACATCGAACGCACCCGAGGGAAATAATAAAAAAAAATAGGCAGCTCTTTCGCGATGGGGTGTTCGCGTATAGGGGTTTACAATAACTATTATAAACATATAGGATCGCCGTAATGCTTATAAAACCGTATATTTTCTACGGTAGGCATGTGTATATAGGAACCCGCGCAAATATTATTTGTATACTTATGGATTTCGCTAGGAAGAAAAACTGGGAGGGGTGGGCGAAAAAACCCCGTACCTATATCGGAATCCTATTAGGAAACAGAATAATAAATTCGCGTTGTTTTTTTTTTAAAAATTTTTTTTTTTTTTTTACCGTTTTGTTATTAGTTTGTTTTCCCCGCGTTCCGTAAACGGCACCGCGCGCGTAACCGATCGGCCGTATCGCGTAATCGCCGTAATCGTGTCATGGAGTCGTCGGGTCGATAATAATATGCACGTAATTATTCAACTCGTTTCACCGCCTATACATTACTATCATTATTATTATTATTATTATAATCGTGTTGTTCGCAAATGTCGCGTTATTGATTTATACGAATCGCATGTAATTTAAACCGCACAGCACAGCGAACGCGGGGTGAAGGGTCACGGGTGTCACATTCGACCGTCCATCCCGCACTCCACTACCACGAAAAACGTAATGCGCCCTTTAATTTGTACGATGCGTATGAAAAAAAAAAAAAAAAAAAAAAAAAACAAAAAAACAGAAGGTCATATTTCGCACAGTTGTCGCGCGCCGCAATATTATAAACGTACAAATCGATAGGTGGAACAGAATAGACGATAAGATATTTGTTCGTCGGGAAATTAATGTTGTGCCGCCCAGTCCGAATTCACGAAAAATATAGTGTACGAATATAATATCCACAGAAATCAAGTACGATTTTGTGCGGCTCGGCCAGTTCGATTCGATGATTCGCCCGTCCTGTTTAAACATAATTACAGTGGACGCAGCTTATAAGACTCACTAATAAGCCACCGAACCTTAAATCCGCGAGACTTACAAGCGGCGTCCACCGTGTTATTTTTTTTTCAAGCTTGGAATTCGTTCAAATCGAAAATCGAGATATTATTAAAACATTTAGTGAAACAGATTATCAAAAACTACCCACCTGTAAATTGTGTAAATAGTTTATTAATGGCTACGTACACGTTTTCCGCCAAAACGTGTTTAAAACAGCCCTCGGTCTGTAAAAATGGAAAGGAATATGATGTCATTTTTGACGATCATCGCGGAATAATTTTATATTATGCGAACGCTGAGACGGGTGGAAAATAATCCAACAACAATCTAAATAACAAGGCCTAGACAAAATCACCCAATAATATAAGATATATACAGCTCGGCAACATTGGTAATAATTGGGAACGGGGAATCCTTAGTCTGGTGCAGTGCCCAAGCATTTTTTAATGGGAGAGCATGACGTGCTATGCAGTGAATAATAATCATGGTGTATGAATATAAACCGTAGAATCTTCTTACGTTATAACTAGTCCGCCAATGAGAAATTGAAAGGCTAAATTTGTATCCAAATAAAAATTTAAATAGCGAATATCTGCAAAATAGTTAAAAGATCTCTATAATGTTTGGATATTATCACCACGTCTAGAAAGAGACAACATAAGATTTATATAATATTATATTTACGTACATTTCAGGTCTTTGCAATTGTTTTAAACAGAATTACAAAAAAAGAAAAAAAAAACAAGAGCTGATACTGTACGTAGGAGGCTGGGACAGGAGTGTAACTAGAACCATTTTTTTGGGAGTGATATAAATATCTGTTAAAAATATCAAGACAAGATCAAATCAAAAAAAATGTATTAAAACTATATTAATTACCGAGCAAATATTGATACAGTTCCCTTAACGGACATCATGAAAAACGGTGCCCATATAGCGGACGCTTTTTCGGAAATGGGAATATTTTCACTGCTTACATATAGGAAAGCCTCTGACCACGGGACACTAAATAACCGAAACTTTTTCCATTTGAAAAGGGAATGCTTCAAAATAGCGGACGAAATTTTAACGGCCTAACAGTGTTGGTATTTAGAGGTTTCACAGTATTACTATTTTAATATATTCCATTTTGTTTTTTTTTTTTTTTTGTTACAAGTATAACAACAAAAAAGACATGTGATGTGTAACCCACATCACACCCCACGAATACGCCACTGAGACGGCACGATATATGGAGTGATAATTCAGTTTATTTATGTAGAGTCTACATTGTAGACAAAGCGAAATTATTGGTTCAATACTGATTTAAACGATATCTGAGTGAAGTTTGCGGTTAAACATGTTTTAGTGAACTTAAATTATAGATATCGTGCGTTGTTTTTCGTGAATGATTTACGGGTATGGCGTTCAGAGGATTTTAAAAACTAGTTAAACTATTCTATTTCATCGGCATTGTAATCTTTTTTTTTTTTTTTTAAAAAAAGAATTTTATTTAGAGAGAAACAATCGAAATCATAAATATATATAAAACCTAAAAAAACAAAACCATTTCATCGGCGATCGCTGCCGAAATAGTCACCTGTTCCGTTTTTCGCGGACGGCGGTTGATTGATTGCGGCCCGACGAACTGTAAGACCTTTTCTCCGGTGTGGTGGTCGACGGCGGTTGACGGGGGAAGGCGTGCGGTTTCCATTGCTAATTGTGGCCCGGGGCTTAATAGAGAAATAATACATTTTACTCTGCAGAACCCCCCGCAGCAGTCCCGATATATATTATATAATAATATAAATGGCCGTGTTTTTGTTTTCGAAACGGTAAAACGAAAAAACGAAAAAAAAAAAAAATAAAAATCGCATAAAGGAAAAAAAAAAAAAAAAGGTCGTTTTTATATTATATTATTATAATATGTGCGCAACGAGAAAACAACGAGAAAAAGTCACGAAAAACTAAAAGGGAGAAAAATGGCGAAACTCTCAAAGGACGTATTTTTATATAGGTATACGAGTACATGTTATAACCCGGTGACGGCGAATTTCCATTCGTTTTCCCGTCGTCGTGTACGTATCATGGCGAAATTAACGAGGTTTCGAGGTTACAATTAATTGGACGAATATTGTCGTCGGCGGCGCGATACACAGAGATCTATTGCGCGAGTTTTTACAGCTCGAAAACTGCGATTCCGTGTTCGGGAATTGTTAATACAATCGCGAAATCGCTCCGGACAAGAATCGGAACCAAACACACTTACATATTTATACGCGTCATACCTTATAAAACCCTTTTTGGACATTTTCGAACGTTTTCGCGGGGTAAACAATGCGGCTTAAGAGACTTGCGGCGTAGGACCCTCGGCCGATTGCTACAGTCATTCGGACTTATTATATCCGTTTTCGGATATATCCACTCCAGATACCCACGTCCCCTTAACCAATGATTTTATAATTTATGGAGAAATGAAACAAAGGACACCGTCTGCGTGGGTAAAACAAAAAACAAAAAAAAAAAAAAAAAGGAAAAGAAGAACCGATCCGCTGGTGAGTAGTAGATTAGCTTTTTAAACTTTTAAACTTTTTTAACATTAGATTACATCGTTTGTATTAGACAGGTAAACAATAAATAACATTGCAAACGACTAATTATTTTACGCTGTTAACTCGATAATTTTATAAAAAGTAGGTGTACGCTAATTTGTTTACCACTTCCTCCAGAACAGTCGTGTCAAAAAACATTAACAGAGTCTTCCTACCCTTCTAAAACGACGCCCTACAGGATTCAGCGTACTTTAACGTTAAGTTTACCACTTGTCGTCCAATAGTTACGTATTTCTTAAAAATTTACAAGAACGATGTATGACACATGCGTATACATTTCTACTTCTTTTTCTCTTTCGTCTTCGTCCCAACTATTTCATGTCGGTCACCTTCGTCCCACACTTCCATTTGACCCGATATTTCTGCGCCTCACACATTCATTCTTGGCTATCCACATATCAATCGTATCCAATTACCATTTTTTTCGCTCTTTCTCTGCGTATATGTTTACGTATACATTTGAATAATAACAATAATTAGCGGTTTTACGATGGCTTTTATGCCGATATCCGATATTTGAAATCGAAAACCGCCAATTAATATTGATACTAACCGATGTATCGCTTAAAAATCCGGCTTATTTCGTTTTTAAGAGACATTTTTTTCTGACGTCTTATATCGGTTTTACAAAAAAAAAAAAAAACCCCTGATGCCTTCAATATCGGATTATACCCGTACTTACCGCTAATAATATTGAAACGTTTTATTATTTATATTATCGTTTAAAATCTATAGTGACACGGTTTATGATTATTTTTTTTTGTTTTTGAAATATATTCTACAGAATCCAATGGCGTAATTATGATTATGAACTCGGGGCCCCCGATAAAAACACAATGGTTTTTGTTATTAAAGTTAAT